ATCAAACAGGATATCAGGAAGAAATCACTCTAGGCACTCCCAAAATTTATATTTTAACTAAAGATCTTTGAGTAGATATTCATAGAATATTTAAGCAACTAGTAAAAATACCTTAAATGATAATATTTTCTCCAAGCATTGCTCTAAAAGAAGGAATATATGGGGATGAGACTTTACAAATTTCATGAAAAACATATATTATTAAAAAAACTACACATGAATTGCCAAACTTTTTTTGAACCAAAATAAACATGTACTTTAATTTTATTTTTCCACACACTTTTCAAAGATCCTTTGTTTAGTACAAATACTATTTGTGTATCATGACTTGTGATAAAGGGTAACTTTTGATGTAAACTTCAATGATCCCTTAAAGAGCAGTCTTCCATGTAATTATTTTAATAATTTACTCATTCAGCCTATAAAGTGCATAACCAAAGTTCTACAGACATGCCATTTTTTTGATGATTGTTTTCAGAGGCAGTATTTCTTGTCTTTTCAAAGGACAGATATATAGCTGATAGACCCCCAAAGACCATTACCTGTTTGCTTCCAGTGCTCATCACCTCTGTATACTTGGTATTACGTTCACTTTGGGGTTAATTGGGAATATGGGTGACCATGAAAACAACAGTTATATATCCAGATTCAGAATAGGGAAGCTCCTTGATCTTGTGTTGTGGGATATTCCAAACATCTTTTGCTTACTGCAGTAGATACACTGATACTGTGTCCCTGTGGCCGGGACAGTAGCCATGAAGAAGTCCTTAGATAACAGCTTCTTTTGGGTTGAAAACACCCACTTTGGTCAATTTCACAACCCTTGCCCAGGGCAGCCAGCATACAGTGACTACACAATGAGGGGATATGAAGACCCAGATTCTTGATCAGTTGAGGACAGCTCTGAAGGGTCACTCCAAGTTCAGAAAGCCTTAAGCCTTCAGTAGAAATGACCAAATGTTAGCTTAACTTCTCCCACTGCCAAACTTTCTCCCATAGCTTCCCTTGCACAGGTGTTGACCCTAAGAGCTCTCCCTGATAAAATCCCCTGCAAGTTAACCTCCATGTCTGAGTCTTCTCCCCAGAGAATCATCACGTAGCAATTAGTAATGGAAGAACCCAACCCACAACAATTAGTATTTGAAGGTCCCCTCCACCTGTCTTTGTGAAGAACCAAGAACCGAGGTAATAAGACTAAAACTCAGTGGGGTTGGGAATCAGGTTGTGATAGACAAAAAATGACCTTAAACTCTGACTGCCTGAGAGTGGGCTACCTGGTATGATCTCTACTGCCCTGTGCCCCCTGGGATATGTTGTATTACTTACATGTGTGTGTCGGGGAGAGAGAACTGTCATCTCTCAGGGCCCCAAGTTCTCCAGGGGTTAAAGAGCAGGTAACCCTAGGCAACATCTATAAACAGCAGAAACCCCAGACCAGATGGCTTAGCATAAAGGTGGTCTAATTATCCCCTGACAATGCCACTTTCCCACACCTGCACAACAAAAGGTACAACGGGAGAGAATGTGAGTTCCCTATGCTGGGACACAGGCTCTCCCTCCCCTGCAGTGTCCCATTTGCGCAGCAGATGCCCTGGACTCTTAGGACGTGTGGAGAAAAGGAAGGGCAAGACTTCTCTCACTGATGCTGGCCTTGTATGGCTTTCCCTTTTTTTTACAGAAGTCTGCGAAATTAACCTAGAACCTTCACGGTTGACAAATGGACCTCCTTGCACAACACTGGTGACCACAAAGTGATAATTCTGCTTAACAACAGTTATAGATTTTCCCCAAGGTATCAGAGGGGGTTAGTGGCCATCTGGAGATGGAGACAGCCCCTGAGGTGAAGGGAGGTCACGGAGAGCTAGTGGTAGGTTGCTCATGGCAGGAGAATGTCCCAAAGCCAGAGAGAGGATAGTCTGATGGGAGGAGCTGTCAGTGACTGGCCAGGGCCTGAAGAATAACCCCAATAACTTCTTTAATGTGGCCAAGACAGAAAGCTGAATGCATGGGATGAGTGCATCTCTATCCTTGATGGAGAGCTAATATCATCAATGTATCCATTGGGATATATCAGCTGTATCCTGATGGCTCAGTATCCCTGAGGCCATTAATTTCCTCCTGCAGGCAGAGGGGCTCCTTTTCATAGTGCGCTGTGGAATTCATCTTGCACCTGGCCCATGACAAGTAAAGGCGTAGTAGGGTCCCCCCTTGCCACACAGAAGGTCACCTAGAGTTCCTCTCAAGAATGGCTTACACTTATGTGTGGCTTTACCAAATCAAACACAGTACATGCATTGACTCAGTAAGACCCACATTAACCTGATGAAGTTGACAAGAGGCATGTTATGTAATCTGCACATTTTCAGAAAGAAAAATTAGAACACAGGGTCGGATAAAGGACATTTCTTTTTTCTGGCTTCTGCAAAAAGAACCTTATAAAGGAAAAAAGAAAAACCTTGACTCACAGCTACTTACACATGTAATGAATGATCTCTTTTAAGAAAGATAAGATTACATGAAGTGTGTACAAAAATTCCTGGAAATATAGTCAGCATAATTACAGGGCATGAAATAAACCTTAAAGCTTGCTTTAAAACTCATTTTGATAAATGCCGTAAGAAAAGAGAGCTCAGATATTCAGAGGTTTAGATAACAGGAGGTTGGAAGAGAGGAGTTAGAGTTGAGAAAGAACGATTGATAGTAAAGAACATACTAATCTATGGCTGAGATTTTTAAGGCAAGGCAGGATGCTGTGTGTGCTCTGAATATGCAAAAGCATCTTTTAAAAGTCTTAGAAACCTACAAACAGAACTACCATATGACCCAATAACTCTACTTTTAGGTATTTACTCAAAGGATAGAAACCCTCAGTTGGAAAAATACTTGCACATCCATTTTTATTACAGCATTATTCACAATCACTAGGACATCACAATGTCTAAAAATAGACGATTAGATTGAAAAAAAATGTGGCATATGTACTCTATGGAATACTACTCAGCCATAAAAAATAGTGAAATTCTGACATTTGATACAAAGTGGACCGATATGGAAGACTTCATGCTAAGTGAAGCAAGTTCGATTATGAACGACAGACCTTGTATGTCCCCACTCAATATATATCAATTGTGCTCTATAGCAGAAACTGAAAGTTTGGAAGGTATAGTAGCAGGGAGGGCAATGGTAGATACTAGAAATACTAAGGATGGGGTAATACAAGGGTGGGTGATGGAGGGGAACAGGGGAAGAAAAGAAAAAAGTATGTTTAATTGACAAAAAAAAGTAAAGCCATTTGATGATGACGTATAGTAATGCTTTGTCTTGACTGATATGTGTGCTAATCATGCTGAAAAAGTAATTGTTATACACTGTGAAGATATTTGTGATTAAATGTAATATTAAAAATAAAATGTACCCCAAAATACACTGAATGATGTCACTACCTATGACAATTTGGCATTTTGGGAACAATGTATATTTGCTGCTCTTATCCAGAAACATCTGCTCTATGTCTCCTGTGAGAAATGCGAAATTAGCTTAATAAAATAGGATTCATTCAATAAACACACATTTATTTTAAAGGCCACTAGGTGCTACTTATTTGCTAGGGGCCAAATATAAATAAGCCATAGTTAAATCAGACCCACCATGTCCTTATTGCCTTAGAATATAATAAGTGATGAACACGACTCTTTGTTTGTTTGTTTTAAGAATTACTTATTTGGAAACCAGCAGATGGCATAATGGTTATGTCACTGGACTCCCAGGTCATCCTAAAACACACTGGGCACGTGTGCGTGCATGCCCAAAATCTTAAGAGGAAAATGGAGAATGGAGAAGAAGGTATTGCAGCATGGCCATCCCTCCTGGGGAGTGGGGGTGATATCTTGCTTTCTGTCTCTCACTAGCGAGTGCATGCATGCATACATGCATGCATGCAAAAAAAACAACTCAATAAAAAAGAATTATTTGTTTAATTAAAAAATGTATTATTATTATTTAATTTGCTATAGGGTATGTGTACTCACCAGAAAGAGATAGAGAGAGGGAGGGGGGAGAGAAGGGAAGTGAGAAAGCAAGCCACCAGGTCCAGGACTCGAATCACAGTTGGCTATATAGGAGTCCAGCACCTTCACTACCATGCCACCTACTGGCCCCACATGGCTCCTATTCTTGGACTTTGAAGACCTTGAATCTACTCTACCACAGGGACCATTCTGTTGATCTGAGAATTATGTCCATATGTGATATATACAAAGTCACATATAACTGTCATCTATTAGGAGTCAATCTTCATATGAAATTAAGATGGGACATGAATGTTATCTATGTTGATACTTAATCTCCTCCTTTTGTACTGCAGTCATGTGTTACAACAAGCTAAGTGCCTTGCCTCTCTGAGTTAGTTACTTTTCAGAGAATCTCTGATCCTTAAAAGCTGGAAGGGACCCTAGAGACTGACCACCCTAATCTCTGCAGCATAACAGCGCCCCCCCCCCATATTCATAGTAACAAAGGGTAGACTTTCATCCGCTTCCTTTGTTTGTACCGAAGTGCTTAACTTTAGCACTAACACTGCAGCATATTACACCCTGGGAAATGACAATCCATCGGGTACATTTCTGGGGCACAAAAATGTTTCTGGAAATCCTGGAAAGCCCCCATGACACCCCTATATAGGACATGCTCATAAAGCAGATGTTTCCTTGTTTCAATTTTTGTGAGCTCTCAGATGAATTAAACCGAATATCTCTGAGCTTTATTCATTATTGCTACAGTAGATAATTTGTGCCTGTGGTACCAGTAATTTAGGGTTATTAATGAAAATGAAGGCTAATTAAAAAAAAACAAACATCTCAACTCAGGCTGAGGTAAAAATACGGAGTAATCACAGATGCATCTTATCCAGGTTTCCCTTCCATCCTAAATTTTACTTCGGTTGCAGTAAGAGAAAAGGACACGTTGCACACAACGGTGCATTGTACATTCATTGAACATACCTGCAAGCCTTCAATGGCCAGTTTAAGGATTGAAGGTGTCAGTTTGGAGGCTTGTTTGAAGGAAAAATTACTCCAGTCTATAATTAAAATGAAGCCATTGATCTGAAGCTCTGGATCTTCAATAAGGACTTCCAAGGACAGCAGGATGGCGCGGAGGATGTCTGTGAAGGAGTTCCTGTGGCCAGAGCAGAAAGGGGAGCAGTGTGTGAATATTCAAACATCTCAACTCAGGCTGAGGTAAAAATACGGAGTAATCACAGATGCATCTTATCCAGGTTTCCCTTCCATCCTAAATTTTACTTCGGTTGCAGTAAGAGAAAAGGACACGTTGCACACAACGGTGCATTGTACATTCATTGAACATACCTGCAAGCCTTCAATGGCCAGTTTAAGGATTGAAGGTGTCAGTTTGGAGGCTTGTTTGAAGGAAAAATTACTCCAGTCTATAATTAAAATGAAGCCATTGATCTGAAGCTCTGGATCTTCAATAAGGACTTCCAAGGACAGCAGGATGGCGCGGAGGATGTCTGTGAAGGAGTTCCTGTGGCCAGAGCAGAAAGGGGAGCAGTGTGTGAATATTAGCAGGTGACAGCACATTGCACAAACAGCATGGCCACCTTACACCACTGCTTCGTGAGCCGAGCCTGCAAGTAATCGTGGTCCTGTACCCAGAACGACAGAAAATACATTTGCTAAACTTCCCAGGAACAATGCTTTAAGACTCACAGGATGGATACCTCCTCTTGATCTGACCCCACCAGCACCCCAAATTTAATAAGCTGTCGTTCTTCTGTGTTCCCATGACTCTCTTACTGTTTCCACTACAGCACTGATTGCATTTCATTGAAATAAATCCCTTGCCTAACTCTGAGCTCTGATGTTCTTGAGGGCAGAAACTGGGATGTCATCATAGTTGTGTGCCCAGTACCTAAGTGTTGAACAAATCATTGCCAAGCTAGGAAGTTGAGACTACAATTAACAGTACTAATTTTTGTTAAACCTGTTTTTATCCCCGTTATGTTTAAACTCTTACTATGAGTATAAAAACATCCATGCAACTGATGCTGTTTTTTAGCTTTAATTCACGGATAGAGGAAAACAAAGCAGGAAGAACAGCCTATTTTCAATGAAAGTCTACAGAGTGTGATTCAGAAGGAAAATTGCTTTGAGTACATCAGTAACTATGACAACAGGCAGACCTGAATACAAACCAGAGTGACAGTTCTCCAGTGTTGTGTGTATTCCTCCACATCATACCTTCCCATTCACAAGCTGATCTTTTTTTGTTTTTAATAATTTCCAGGCATAAAGAAATGATGTCACATTAACTCAGCTATTTCACCCAGCAAATTATTTGAGCTACAAGTCTCAGCTCTCAGAAGATCTCTGAATTCAGTGTCATTTTTTGGTTAAGTAGGAAAATACAACCTTCCATGGTTAACTGGTAGCAATCCTTTCTATGGACTTCAGGCTTTCATAAAAATCAGAATCCAGGTCCTCTTGTGAAATCAGTGTGGAATAATCACATTCTTGAGCATTCCAATCTGGTTCAAATTCTAACCAAGCTTAATGACTCCAGATTAGGCATCAGGAAATCTGTGATCCAATATTAAACCAGTGAGAATTTAGTGGCTGCTTGTTACAAGCTCAGTATTGTGTTTCATGCATGAACTTACAAATTAATATGTCCTATTTCTATTTTCAAAGAGCTCTTAATTTAGTTGGGCTAGAGTGCAAGATTAGCAATATAAATGAAGAAGGATGGATAAAATTTGAGTAGTCAGAGAAGACTTTATGGAGAGATGAAGGCTTGAGATAAGTCTTCAAAGGGGAATAATGTCTCGATGGACAAGTGGGAGGAGGGGAAGCAAGGTCTTGCAGGAGAGAGAAGTGACACAAATGAAAAGAGAAATATAGCCCATTCTGTTTCTGTACAGTTTCTCTTACTAAAAATTATGTATATCAAAAACTAAAATTTTCCTCCCAGAGTGCACCTACTGACAGTAGTTCTGCTATGTAGAAGAACCTCAGGTCTTCTCACACCCCATGCTTTCAACTATCTAAACATGGTAGTCATGACACCCTATATAATTTCTTGATTATAAAAAAGGATTATTAACTTTAGGCTCAGCTTTAGTGTTACGGTGGTAGCATACTAAACAGTAGTGCTGGAGGTCACATGGAAGATGGTAGGTTTGGATGCCCCGTCTAAAACATGTTATGTGTATGCACTGAAGACCCTCATGAACTGGAGTTGTGATGAAACCCTGTTGAGGGTTCCTCTCTTTCTTTCTCTTGCACATGCTCACTCATAAATAAAAAAATAAAAATTATTGGTAATTTTAACCATTTCTCACAGGAAAAATAGTTTTTAATACTCTTCTCATCATTACTGGTGTTTTTCAGATGATTTCCTTTTTATTTTTAGAGATGTCCTCTTCCTGTTAATGTAGGACAAGTGTTCACTGGGAATTTGGTTTGTGTTTGCCTCTACAGTCACATCAAAGCAACTTTCTAAAGACCCAACTCTTTTTCAGAAATAAAGCTTTGTAGTGGGAAGAAACATGGATTTAAGTGGAGTATGAGCCTGAAAATTATGAGTCTAGACAAAATCAAATGGAAATATTGAAATGCCCAACAGTAACAAGAAAAGATCATTGGGGCGTCAGGAAGTGTGAGCTTAGATAAGCTTTCTTAGGAAGAGCACAAACATGGAGAAAATCAGGACTGAAAGGCTGGGCCTGAGGTAAAGCCTCCGTGTGGTATGGACCTGCAAGGAAGAAGAATTAAAGAAACAGAAGGAGAGATTTGAATCAAGATAGTATTGTATTAAAATGAAGGAGAAGAAAAAGAACAGCAGCAGTAGCAGCAAGGTCAGATAGATTACTGTACTGCCTTCCTGGCTCTAGCTCTTCACCTCCCTGCATCCACATACTAGCTTTCCATCCCTGTCCATGTGACTTGATTTGACCAATGGCATGTAGACAGATATGACAATTGACAGGGTACCAGTTCTGAGCCTGAACATCAGATGTTACCACTTAATCTCTTATTCTTCTGCTATTGTCATGTCACCACTAGGATGGGAGAAAGAGACATACACAGTGTAGTGATTCCCTACTCCACCAGCAAACCTTCACAAGAAGCCACTCAACTGAACCAGCCTAGATAAACTCTAGCTGCCCCTACAGATGCATGAGCAATAACAAATGATTGTTTTTTCTTAAGTGTTTTGTTGTTTTTGTTCATGAGAAAGAGGATATGTGCATATGAACAAAAGAGAGGAAAAGAGATACAGGCATCCTTGACAGGGTTTGTCATGCTACAATCCCCTTGCCAGTTTGTCAGGATCTTGAACATGCGTGTACCAAGTGTATTTGTAGGTCAACTCAGTAACTGAACCTATTGCTGGCCACAGGGTTTCCAGCACTGAAGATCAGTATGCTACTGTCTGTGCCACCAGCACTCGATCAATGTTTGCTTTTATAAGATGCTGAGTTTTGGGATGGTTTGTTACACAGCAAGAGCTATCCAGTATCAGATGGTTGTTAACAAAGTCAAATGCAACACAAAGAACAAGGAGAATAAGGAAGGGAAGAAAAACAACAACAGCAGTAATCATTATCTGACAACAAGCAGATCTTTGGGAAATTTTTAGAGAGCACTTTTAGTTAAGTGATGAAGCCAGAAATCATTAATAATGAAGATTTTGAGCTAATCACTTACTCTCTATTTCATTTTACTCCTCTAAATAAGATATAGAATCATATATCTGTTTTTACCAACATCCAAAAACAGACACTGAGTTCTGCTTGGAAACCTGGAAACCATTCTGTGCATTTTGGAGACCAGAACCTCTTTGTAAGATAGGTATTGGCATCGAAGGGACTATTATTCATGAGATGATCCTAGGAGAAAAGTAAAAAGCTTATGCATTTAATTATAGTTTCCAAATTTTTCAAATGCTTCATTTTTCCAAAGTAATTATATGGACAGGAGAAAGTTGAGTGAAGTGTGTCTCTAGTCATCCAGCTTTACCCTGTGGAAGGGTGTCCTAGTCCTCACCCTAGCTGCAATCATTACCTTAATTTCCTTACTTCTTCGTTTTGTCTTATGAATTTCCTCATCCTTTTCCTCTTTTTTATTTACAGTACTCTTGACTTGTGGAATTCTCCTAGCTTTTTGCTTTTTTTTTTTTTTTTTTTGCTATGGGATGTGTGTGTGCTTACCAGTGAGACAGAGACAGAAAGTGAGAAATTACTCCTCCAGGAGGATGGCCATGATGCCACAAGCTCTTCTCCTCCATTCTCCTGCCGGGATCCTGAGCACACATGTACACGTGCCTGGCATGAGTTTTACACCACTGGGATCCAGTGCTCAAACCATGGTCGACTATGTGGGAGTCCAGCGATGTAACCATCATGCCATCTACTGGTCCCTAATCCTAGCTTTTTAAAATTTAAAATACACACTACACTAAATAATTTATGTAGACATTCTACTCTCCAAGAAGTGGAGTATAGCTCCCCATTCCTTAAAGTGTGGCCTGAGCATGATGACTTCCTTCGCAAGGGTACAGTATAGAAAGGGAGAACAGAGTACCTTACATTGGAGAAATCTGACAAACACTGCCTGAGCCAGGTGACGAAGGTCAACATCACCAGCAATAAATCATGCTGATGGTATTTACCCTTGCTATGGTGCTAAATGGGCACTTCACCTCTGTGATCTTTCTCCCCAAAACTATGAACCCAGAATAATAATTAGAAAAACACTTGACAAATTCCAACCAAGGACATTCTACGAAATACCTGAATGATACTCCTCAAAACTGCCATGTTCATCAAAAACAGGAAAATCTGATTGAGAAACAGTCATGGCCAACAAGAGCCTAAGGAGGCTTGTAGACTAAGTGCAATGTGCTATCTTGGATAGGATCCTGGGATTAAAAAAAAGACATTAAGTAAAATGAAGTAAATTTGAATCAAGGATGAACTTTAGTGCATGCTAATGTGCCAATATTGGTTTATTAGCATACACTATACTGATGTCAGATCTTAATTATAGGGGAAACTGGATGCAGGATATAGGTGAACTCTCTGCACTATCTTCACAATAATTCTGCACATCTAAAATTGCTGTAAATAAAAAATTTATCAATTTCTTTAAAAAGTGCCCACTGGAGTTTGTAGTCTGCCACGGCATGTCTCCATGGTAGTTCAAACAAGGTTTCTAAGCAAATCAAAATGGTCATACACATTTCAGCCACTTCACACAAATTGTGGAAATGAAAACAGAGGACACATCCAGAATTTCTTTGTTCTACTAACTCATTTATGCTTATGGATTATTTAACACCAATAACCTAGAGGAAAAACAAATTATTTTTTTATTTCCTGTAATCAAATTATTTTTTTCTACTATCAGAATATTTTAGTACTAATATCAAAAAGAACTGAAAGATAACAAGTGGATATTTATTTTTTTTTATTCTTTTCTATAATTTGCTTAGCATTTATGTAGTCATTTATGGATGATATC